CAGCGGTGCGAATCCATCGACCCAACTAAGGGGCTCGAACCCGGGACCTCACAGGTAGAATACAAGCATGCTACCCACTCGGCCACCGGGCACACATCAGACCGTTTTTTTATTTTTCATTTACACGATGTAGCACAACCCATATTTGCGAGCTTGTTGCGGCCACAGACTTCGATCCTCAGTTGGGTCAATGAATTCGCCCTGCTGATGAGATCCAACCAGCTATCCGGTAATTCCTAGCTTTTCATTTCACGCTTCATTTGTTATGTACCTTTGAAAAGTTGTTTGTGTTGATTTCTCCCATATATATATTCTTTCATTACATGAATTCGTTTTTGTGTCCTCTTTTCCCCTGCGCATGGACAGAATTTTGTCACCTGACTGCACCGCATCAAGTTCGTGTCTATTGTTGGTGATTTTCGTTGGTTTTCGCGTTTGAGATTGTCAGGTAGTTCACTTGTTTACGATTCATGTTCTTGTTGGAACAGACACTGACCCCGTATTCAATGGTAGAATCTTGTTTCCTTTTTGTCATTTCCCTCTATTCAATCATTATTCAGAATCCAGCCTTGAGTTCATCTAATCCAGAACAGAAAGAGGCTGCTGTGGTTATTCAGTCGGAGTATCGACGTCATCGGGCTAGCCGCGAAGTGAATGAGTTGCGTCAGCAGAAAGCAGCCGTACAGATTCAATCTGCTTTCCGTGGATATCGTGAACGCAAATCTATTGAGTAAGTGTATCGAAAATTCAATTGATCATCGAGACGACCATGAAATTTAACGATATCTCAAAACATTTGTGTTGCGCTTATCGTGTACATTCTATGCGTACCGTTTCAGTCTTTTTAGCACAATTAATTCTAAGATGCATTTTTAGCCGTAAAAAAACAGATCCATACAAAGTTCATCTGCTGTTTGAAGTTGAATGGGACACTGGGGAGCGGTTAGAAACGAATCGCAAATAACCAAAGCAATTAAGCGACCGTTTTTACCTCCCACCAAGAATCTGAAAAAAAACATTCGAAGACATATAGTCCGTATATCTGTTTTTTTTGTCATAGCAAGTCATCGACATACTTGGTCGACGGTCTCACTTAACGCCAGCGTCACGAATGAGGTGTCACATGCGTATAGCTAGTCTGTATGAATTCTCTATCTTCCGCTTGAATTTGCTTTCAACATTCCAATCTTCATCCTTCTCTT